TGATGTTAAGATCTGGAACGTTTTGACCCCGCAAATGAAATAAAACAAAACAACAAACAAACCATATTAAAAGCAAGGAGTTCCTGCCCTCCTCTACCATGAGACCTGAGAGCTGGGACTTCTTGTCACAGTTTGGGACACAAGATTTTTGAAGGCTCAGCCTTTTGGGAGGGACAGAAGTTGCTTCTCAAACGTCTGTGTTTCAGATAGTTTGTGATGGGTATGAGAGATGTTAGGCATGATGGATCCTGCTGGCTGAGAATTTGATAGGGCAGGAGACAACAAATGCCACTAACATAATACAGGACCTCAACTCTTTAAATGCATATCTTCCCTGATGACTTGTGTGATATAGTACCTGGCACAATGAGGCCTTGTGGGTTACAAGGGGAGTATTGAGTAAAAAGAGCAAGGGTTGTGGTGAATTTAGTCAGGTCCTCAAGATTTTTGCTATGGAAATCAGGTTATTTAGGGGAAAGACACAACTCTCACGCCCACAGAGGGAAATAAAGGGATAATCTGGAGTAATAGAAAAATGGGCTGGCAGGGTCCTTAGAAGGTCATGTCTAGCCCAACCCCCTGCCTGGGGCAGAAACAACCCTGTCTAAATTATCCCAGCCAAGTGTTTCTGCAACCTGCTCTTAAGACTGTCAAAAGGTTGCAATTTAACAACCATAAAGTTCTCCCTCCATCCTCTGTATAACAACCCATCAGGGATTTGAAGGCTTGACAAGTCTCCGTTGAGGCTACTCCTCTACAGGATGTCAGCGTAGAGGGGGCGGCTTCCCCAGAACCATTCCTTTCCTTCCCACCCATAATGGTGGAAAGCAGCAGGTGGACAGGTGTGTCCATTCTACCTGCTAATCCTTTGTCAGCCAGGAGCTGTGTGAAGCCCTGTAGCAGCAGCACCCACCAAAGTGAGGTGCATGATCCACCAGCAGGTTGACATGGGGCCACAGCAGTTTGTGCAGGAAGAATTGTAAATTCACAGAGGTGACCTAATTCCAGGGCCTGCTCTATAGTCCATTGATTCAGCTCAGTTTGAAAGCAGTCTCAGTTTGAGAAGACATCAATAAGAGCTCCTAAGCAAAGGAAGTAACCCTGTGTCCGCCTGTACTTAGAATGCATTTCCCAATATAAAGATGCTTATACTGCAGGATTGTTATTACAGGTGCAGGTGTGCATAGTGATACATGTTCAGGCATCTAATTAAACATGCCAGAGAGTGCAAATCTTGATAGATATCTGCAGTGTCCAATAGGCTGAGGCTTAATACCTAGAAGTAGAGTGCTTTCAAATTCCTCACGGGATTTCAGGTATGAAGTGCACTATTAGGTGAAGGACAGGGATCAATCATCGCATGCTAGAGGTAACTTTGGACAAAAAAAAAAAAATACAGTAGCATATTCCTAGATTCACAGTAGGTGCATCTACACATGCACATTTACTGCACAGTAACTGAAGTTACTGCACAGTATGGGCATGCATCTACATGTGCACACCCGTATTGTGCAGTAAAAGTGGCAGCTTACACTGCATCGTGCAGGTTACACTGCATCATGCAGGTATCAAATTTATGCCCAATTAGTTACTGTGCAGTAATACATGTGTAGATGCTTTACTGCACAGTAACATTGCCTGTGTGGACTGGTTTGGGACTAACTTTAGTCCCAAGTTAGTCCATGCATAGTGTGAATGCACTTCAATGCCTGCACATGTCTATTCCCACTTACTGCACAGTAAATTTAAGATGGCATAAATGCATGTGTAGACACACCCAATGCCTAGTTATTGTTCCAGTAAGGTGCAGCAGCGAGGCTGGCAAAACTAAGAGCAGGACCCAGTTCGGAGGGATCTGATAGCACAAAGTATTGACACCAACCTCATTGAAAAGAGTTTGATAAGAAAAACAGTACCAAAGAATTTGCACCAGAAAAGCAGCCAACAAAGGATACCTTTGCATAACCTCAGTCCTTGTTCCCAGGCAAAGTACCACAAATATCTTAGAGCAAACCCAAACTCCTACAATCAATCCTTGCTCACCACCACTGACTCCCCAACTGAGCATGAACCAAACAATTTATACTGAGTTCCCCACCCAGAATTCCTTGCAGGGCAAGGAAATCCTTCCCCCATATTTCTGGGTGAGTGACAAGTTGTCTAGCCAATCAACCCCTGCTTCTTCTCCCCCCTTAGTTCTCTATGGGCTTCACCCACATCTCTGTCATGACACATATTGCTGGTCTTTCTGTTTTTCTTCTCTGTCGCTCCCTGCTCTGCTCGTTGACCCCTGGCTGGCTTGCTATTTGAACACAGGATCAGGCCTTTGTAAATAAACCTGTTCATAACTGAGCAGATACCAAAGTGCATTGCAACAGGGAGTAGTGCTCTCTCCATGGTACAGAGGAGAAACCATTGCACAGAGAGGGGGAGTGACTGGCTCACTCCTAATTTGACTCTATCTGTCTTCCTACATGTTGCCTTACGAACAGCTTCCCTACACCCAGAAATCTCCTGCAAAGCCCTGTCCCAAAGAATCACCCCCAGGTGAAGACCCTTGATCCACAAGTTGAGTGAGGAGTTTATTATCAAAAGGCAAAGCAAGGCAGGGATTCCAGTATTTAATTAAGGGACAATTTTAAGGAGTTTGGGAAACCTTCTTTATTCTTGGTTTATTATGATCCCTGTGTGTCCCAAAATCCAGGCACAACCCAATAAAACACTGAGGTGGTTGCTCGATGGATGGCCAGCACATGGTAGGGATGTTTGAGGAATGTCTGCACGAAAATGAAAGTTGTTCATGGACACGTATGTCTTTGTCCAGTTTGCACCTTCTTTTATCACAATAGGGAGCCCCTATTCTGGGGGTTCACTTTGCTTACCAGGATCCAACACGATCTTTACTTTTCAAGCAATAGCCACGGGATCATATGGCAATAATTACTCCATTGCATCCAAAATACAGGCTGTCAGGACAAAAATATGCCTGGAATGTATTGTAATTATGTTACATAGGGGCATGTTTTCACTGATGGGAATGAACCCCCCTCCCCCCCCAAGCTGTACCATAATCAGGCTATAATGCAAACAGGATTCTGCTCAGATTGCTTTTGGCATGCATGGATTTATGCTATTTTAATTAAAGCCAGCTGGTGCTGGCTATATTTAGTGATATTTGGGGTTTCTTTTTTTTTTATATAATCTATTTGACTGAAAAGAACTTTAAAAAATAACAATAACTAGCAACTGCTGATTGCTGTCTGGTAATGAAAGACAGCAGTAATGAAAGAAAGAACTGGAGGAAATATAATGGAAAAGCATAATTGAATTGTGCCTAATGCAAAAAAAACAACAACAACAAACCCTATATACATGGGCTGGTAAGAGAACATTTTAGTCATGCCAAAGGTTGCAATTTAGACTTGTAAAAATTATTACCATGCAGTATACATGATTGGTGGATATGTGAAAAGCAATTTGGGTCTACTCCAATTCTTAGACAAGTGTCCACATCAGGAGAAAAAAATGCCATAACTCTTTTAATTCATATGTCTAGTTCTCTACTTAAGCAGCTTAATGTGATGTATTGCTCATTAGTTGTTCTACAGGATACTCTTTCTTCAGATGCTGCAACTTTGGGTGCCCCTCCAGACACCAGTTACAGAAATTACACATAAACCAGTATAAGGTATTGGAAACCAGTTCAAATCTGTAACACAACAGAGGTTCAGTGCACAGAAACTGCTTTCAAAATGTCCCAAACCAGTTTAAGACAAACCTGGATGGATGTGGTATCAGACTGAATTGATTTGGGTTAAGTCTGTTTAGTGAACGTCTTTCCCTGATCCCCTCCAGACTTAGGTTAACTCACAGTCTCCCCAGCATCCCAAGATGCTTTGCAGGGTGGGCAGGCTAGCCTTGGCCCAAGCCGTCTGCTCCAGCCAAGCAGGGAGGTGTGCTCTATTGCTGCCCGGCTTCTGGCTTGGGCCACTGCAGGCATGTGGCTGCATTTCCAGAATCAAAAGTGAATGTCTGTTCACTTGCTTATCAGTTTAGACTAACTAATCTATGCAGTTTAGACTAACTTGTGCAGATTGAATTGATTCAACCCTGGGCTTTTTGACTGTCCGTACTTAGCCTATATCTGTTTTCGGTTTGAGTTCCAGCTTAAAACAATAGTCACCAACTCTGATCATGAGAAAGTAGGGCTGGAAGGGACTGTATGGAGGTCATCTACTCCAGCCCCCTGTTTGTGCTCTGCGTTTTTTGTCCTTGGGCTAGTCTAACCCTCAACTGCTGTGGAGTCACAATGACATACCACGTCAAATATGGAGAAATGACAGCAAAATTCTTACATTTCAAGGTTGCTTCCATCTCACAGGTTTTGAGATGGACTCACTGTCTGTTGCTGTGTTTTTGTGGTGGTTTAAATCAATATTTTTATTTACATGTTATCCTTATCCTGATGGAGGTTTTTCTTTTCTTTCATTTTTTCTAAGCAGTGACTACAAGAAACTATTGGATTAAGACTACCATGAAACACTGGGAAGTGTCTTTAAGGTTAACACATTTCCCTGAAACAGCTTTATTTCTGAAAATGAGACCACTTTAAAATGGAAAAAGGTTTTATGCCAAGATTTTTGATCACGTGTATCTATTATGGCTCTGATAAAAAAAAATCAAAGAAAAGTAGCGCTAGCAGGGCCCTCAGGAGGTCATCTAGTGCAAGCCTCTCTTAAAGACATGATCATCCCTGTCTAAACTATCTGATTCAAGCATTTCTCTCACCTGCTTTTAACAACTTCTAGTGATGAAGATCTCACAACCTCTCAAGCTAATCGGCTCTGATACTTACCCACCCTCAGAGTTACCAAGTTCTTCTTAATATCCAACCCCAATTTCCCTTGTTGCTATTTAAATTTGTTATTCCTTGTCCTGTCCTTGATGGCCACAGAGAATAGTCCAACCCAGTGGCTTTCCACCTGTGGTCTGTGGACCCCTGGGGTTCTTCAGACTGTCTAAGGGGTCTGCAAAAGATCACTTTGATGAATCAGAAGTATGCGAATACCCACACTTACAATTCAAAGGGGTCCATACTTCCATTTGAAGTATTATAGGGGTCCGCAAATGAAAAAAAAAAAAGGTTGAAAACAACTGGTCTATCACCATCCTCTTTATAATCACCCTTCATGTATGTCAAGACTGTTATCCATTTTCACCTCACTCTTTTCAAGGCTACATAATCTTAGTCCCTCCCTACTATTTATCATAAATTGTGTTTCCCAGACCTGGAACTATTTTTACTCTTTGCTGGACTCTTTCCAGTTTTCCTATGTCTTTGATGAGCGGAGTTACCCCACAGTGCTCCAGGGGAGCCTTCGTCAGTGCTAAATGCAGTGGAAGACTTTCCCATGACTTGCAGGTGATACTCCCATTAAAACAACCCACTATGGTATTGGCTTTTTTTTTGGCAACAGTAGTACACTGTTGACTGAAATTCAGGTTGCAGTCCTCTATAACACCCCCCTCCCCCCCAGATCATCACCCAGATGTCCGAGTTACGGCTGTCACTTCACACAACACTTTGAAAGTTATGGGCAAGGACCTGAGGTTCAGTGAGGGTGTGAGTTTTACAGCTGAAAATGCACATGAGCTCCATCGCCTTTTTATGAGACAATGGAGAGCAAAAGCACTGCCATCAGTTTATACTTACTCTTTCCTTCCTGACACCAGCTGTAAGCTATGGTGACAAAGTGCTTTACCCTAAGATGTGCAATTCTGTTCTATGTATGGTTGTTCTTGTTACAGATGTTATTCAAAGTGACACAGCTGGGGCAAGTTAAAAACTCTTAACGCTCTTTAAATTCTTGGAAAACCCACCTGGCAAAATCTCTCTGACACACTCATTTTCCTTATTCTTTTTTAATTAGCTCTCCTAATTGGTATGTGTCAGGAAAGTGTACAACATAAACGGTTATGGCATGAACACTAGTGAACCCCCTCATGAACTCTGAGCAATGGTAGGTTGTTATTTTGTAAGGTGGATTGTCCATGAGAGAAGGGCATCACATATGCCCTGCCAGCACCAAAATCCAATATTTCCATTGAATCCATGTCACAAGGTTCATCGTAGCTGATGGGAGGCCCTCTAAAGTTTTGCAGTTAGGTTTTGGCTCAAAAAGTAACCCACAAAACCCAGAGTTGATAAGGAAAGTTATATGACTCTTGCTTTCCAAGTTGCAGACCACTTCCATCTCCAGGACCCCAACCCTGCCATCTGGAGAACTTGCTACCTTTGTCCATCTTGCTACCTTTGTCCACTTGACCCCAGCGCTCTTTCCTGCCCAGAGCAGGGGGTCAGACTCAATGATTGAATAGGTCCCTTCTGACCCTAGAAATCTGTAAAATCTATGAACTCTTCCTCTTCAGGCCACAAACTTGTGCTATCTGAAACTCCAGAGACTTGGTGTCTGCTCAACTATCCTATCAGAAAGTAACATGGGAAAACTAGAGAAGACCTATGGCCAACTAGAAGTGGCCCTAACCCAACCCGAACCTTGAGTTCAGATGTTCATCCAAGTTCTAGTCCATAAACTTCCTGTATCGCTCTGGCCAAATCATTTTCTCTCTGTCCCTTGGCAATAATAGCTCATGATAGCCCTCCCTCCTTTCACAGAAATGTTGTGAGGATACAGAAAGACAAAGTTGTGAGGTTATAGAGCAGGGCCAGGCAAAATCTGGCCCACGGGCCAAATCGGGCCCATGAGAGATTCCATTTCCCAGTAGCCCCTGCCTGCATTGCTCGGGCCAGTTTCCATGGAGACATTGGGAGTGGTGGTGCCATGATACCACTGGTCAGGGTTTCCATGGAGACCAGCCCAAGCCGTACTGGCAGAGGTTGCTGGGAAATGAAGTCCAGCTGTCGGCCAGATCTACCAATTTGCCCACCCTTGCCATAGAGCAACACGTAACAGAGAGAGCGGTGGAGGAGGGCTGAAGTGGCATGTATGGACACATGATGAGCAATGAAAACTGACTAAAATTTTGTTTCATATTTCATAGTGCTTAGGGACAGAAGGGACCTAAATAGATCATCAGGTCCGACCCACTGTCCCGGGCAGGAATGGGTGCCGCGGTCATATCACCCCAGCCAATTATCTGTCCAGCCACCTAATGTCACCACCCAGAGTCCAGGGCTAAACCCCTGTCCCCCCTGCCAGCCTGGGACAGCTCCCCCCTGCTTAAACTGCTGCTGTCCTGGGCAAACATGTAGATGCTGCACCTGGGAGCAACTGACTCTGGCTTGAACTGCTTTGGAGTTTATCATGTTACATTAATAGCATATGTAGCTGCACCCAGTATAAATTCCCCTACAGCTGCTTAGTTTCTTTTGGCTCTTTGAGTTACTGATGGACAATGAGACAGGTTTCGAGAAAAAAAATATATATTTTTTTCCTCCAGACACTAAACAGAGATGTCTGAAGAACTGTAGGTCCAAATCATGTTGCAAATCAACATGGCTCTGTTGTTGAAGACAGTGGCCCCACATCAAAGTATACCAGCTGAAGAACTCAGTGAATAATGTAATGCACTTCTCATAATGCATTCATAATAGTCTAAAAGAGAAATGGGTTAAGAAAGTAACTGTTATCCCAGGAGAAAGTCAAATGCAGTACGAAGCCGGTCTGCTCCAGGGAATACAATTTGGACATAGGCTTTACTTGTTACATACTGCTGGAACAACACAGCTGACATCACAAGGGAGAAGTGTCAAGCTAACAGTGTGCATCACAAGAAAGCTGCTAAAGAAGCGATTCTGTGTTACAAGGCTCCTCTGATGAATCAGTGTCCTTGTGAAGGTAATGTTTCTTTATAGCTCTGCTCTCCCCCTTCTTATCCCTTGGGGATGTTTCTAATACTGTTTTAGAGCACGAGTAGCCACTACTGGACTCGAGTGGTTTGTAGGGATAGGGGATAAGATGCTTTCAGCTACATATTACAAGATCCAGGTTATTTCCATATACTCATACAGGTCTTAATCCAGCAAAGCATATTCTTAATATTAAGTGTGTAAGCAGTACTGTTCCCTATAATGTAATTTAGACATGTAGTAATGTGCTTTGCCTGATTGCAGTCTTATTGTTAAACTCAAGTTGTGGCCATATCTGATGGATGGAGCTATCTTTCCTCTTACTGTGTCATTTTAGTCTCTTCTTGCTTTAAAAACTGAGGTTCACTGTCTGACAAATGCTACAATAGGTGCCTAGCTGATTTGTACCATGAAATCTGCACAGCTGCAAAACAAGATAAACTGGGTGGGGAGTACCCTTTCTATAGCAGTGCACTGGATATCTAATATAAACTGTCTGACACGGGAATCATGTTCCT